TCCATTTTTTATTTAGAGGAGGAAAGCGGGGACGAAGATGTTGTGGAAGAGGACGTGGAAGAGGTTTGATGTAGAAGGCTTCTAGCCGTACATGTTTGAGCCCTTGCCTCGCAACGCTGCCAGTTCTGTTAGCTCTACGCCTGCTGAAGACACAGACGTCCATCCCCGTGAACACTGGGACGGAACTCAATGGGAAAGGAAAGGATTCTTATTTCTTATTTCAACCGTTGCGTATATTAGCTGCGACATATGAATCAAGATGCTATGATTGAAAAAAATTGATTGACAGATGACCGTTGATATATGATTGGCCGAATTTAGGTGTTCAGGATGACGTATAAATAACTGGCCTGCAGAAGATAACGGGGAAAAAACACCCACAGATTTTAAGACAGGGTTTTTTTTTTTATAGAAATCTTCTAAATTTTGGACAATATTATCTGATAAAGAGTACATTTACATACATGTTTAAGCCAGAATGATTTGACATTTTAATATATTTTCCTGATGACTTTAAAACAGCACGTCCACAATCAGCTGGAACACGATTCCATCTGAATGTTTGATTTCAAAACGCATCATAATGACATGACTCTAATTTAGAGGAGCCAATTTGCTCAGGTGTTCTAAACGGCACTGATCTGTCTTCAAAGACCTTTTTACAAACTGCTGCATTGAAAGAAGCACATCTGACTTCTTTTAGAACCAAACTCTGACTCTGTGACTGAGTAGGGGGTTTGTCTGGTTCTGATCACGTAGCTTCAGATGATTTTCTACAGGCTGCAGAGTCCAGTAGGACGATTTAGATCCTTGTCTATCTGGACCTACATAGCAGGTTTGATTCCACGGAAAAAGGACTGATGTGGTTTGAAAAAAAGCAGGAAAAACAACCTCCCAAATAATAACTAGAGAACTTCAGACTGAGCCTCAGTCTGAGACGGTTCTGTTTGGAGCAGCTTGCTTAAACCTTTATAGGGCAAGATACCGTTTTTGATCGCTTGCATACCCTTTAGAAATGGATCCCCCCCCATCAGTGAGGTCTAGAAGCACAATATCTATATCCAGCCATTCAGTAAAGACATTGCTACATGTCTGTACATCTTATTTTGGCATTTGACCAATTAGATTAACCTTTGAATTCTATATTACCTAATGTAAATTAAGTAAAAAAATACGTTAACAACTCAAGAAAGAAAAGGTAAAAAGTAAAGTCAAAACCTTAATTAGCGTAGTTAACAATTATATTTAAATTTATAAAATAAAAAATATAAGTGCCTCTAAGGCAGAGGTCACGGATTAGTGGATCGGGGACCAGATCCGGAGCCACCTGCTGGCTAATCCGGGCCCTACCTGATTTAAAACATTTATAAATTACCGCCTGTTGTGTCGACAGTGTCTAAATATCACTTGTTCCGCTTCTCCTGGTAATATGGTAAAGCCCTCTGGAGCGTCCAGCACCAGGCTGCACGTGATCCAAATGATCCAATGAGCTGCTGTCAGTCTGGGTTGCTGCTGCTGCTACTTTAAGCCGGGCGATGGAAAAGAAGGAGAAGATGATGAGAAAAAGAGAGCAGAGAAAGTGAGGACTGCTGGAAGAACTGTGGTGAACTGGTGAAAGAAAAGTGAAATGGCGTGATCAAAGATGATCCTACACATTTAGAGGATGTTTGGCTCAACCTGCTGCTGTGAAGCAGGATTCTCCACCATAAACAGAATCAAAAATAAACATGGATCCAGGCTCAGAATGAATACCTTGATATGTGCTTTAGAATGGCTTACTCTCCATTCAAACCAGGTTTAAAGCCTTGCAGGGCAGCATAAAGCCCACTGCCAACATTAAGACAAAAAAAAAAGAAAAACGGTCAGTTCAGGTGTTTTCTAAAATATGTGATCAGGAAATTGTCGATATGCAAAACTGAACAATTGTTGTTCTCTACTTCAAAAAACACTTTAGATTTTAAAATGGGAAAAATGTTATATATATTTTTTTAATTCTATGTATAACATGGATACATAAAAACCTGATTTTCTTTCAGTGATAAATTCTCTTTTAAGTAACAGATTATAATTAAAAATGTCTCCGGACCTTTACTGGTTGATGATTTTCTTTATTCATATTTTTTGAATGTTACAAAGGTCCTGGATTCCAGTAACATTATTGGCTTGAAATCTTGATTTTCAAAGAACTTCACTGAGTGCCCTATAAAGGGTTAAATTCAGATGTTATTTACTGCATTTCAGCCGTAGATGCAAACGTTGAGTAAAACCTGTCTTGTAAAGCGAAGTCATCATTGGAGCGGAAACTACCTGCTGGACCCTCTCAGGTGTGAATCCTGTGATGAACCCGTCTCCTCTGTCTCACCTTGGCCTGTAATGTCCAACAGAGCCGACTCCTCCACCCTCCTCCTGTAAGTCGTCTCCTCTACTGATACTTAAAGGTTAATTTGTCCAGATGACATTTCGCTGTATGAGCTCAGTCTTTGTTCAGCTGCTCTGACCTTTAGTCCTCCTCTGAGGACGGAGCCTCAGATTTTGCAGACGTCTGTTTCAGTCGCTTTGTTCTGCTGCTTACGGATCGGGACCAAGATCTTCCTCATGATCTGTTATTTCACCGAGGAACACAGTCTGAGAAAGTTCTGCAGACACTTTGAAAGAGAAGACAAGCAAACATATTTTAAGCCCCCCCTGCTTCTGTAGGTCCAGAAGTTCAGTCGGTTCTTGCTCATTCTTTACTCTGGGCCTTTATTCCTCTATATTTCTGACTTTCTTCCTTCGTTCCTGGTTTAATCTATTCATCCCTGAGTAATCCTGGTCCGTCAATTCGTACGTGGAAGATAAAACATGCCGTCTGCCCCTATGTCGTCAGGACTGGGACACCACAGGGCTGTGTTTTCAGTCCTCTCTTCTTCACAAAAAACAAGCATGGTGGTGAAGCTTAGTCTCATATCTTTCTGACACCGTGGGGCTTCAATAGCAAGCTCATCCTGACGGAGGTAAGAGTGGACACCTGGAGGACTTAACATGCTCCTGTCTGCATACAGATGGTGGAGTGGGTGAACATTTTCATCTCCTTTCACCACCTGGACTGAGACCAAGTATTTTGGTACAAAATACGGCTCCTCAGTTAAGACAATTGAAAGTCATTCCAAAAAAAGTAAAAAAAACATCAATCCACGGGTCTTTGTTTCCAAGTTTAAAGACGTTTCGCTTTTCAAAGGGTCGGACCCATTCGTCAGGTTCAGTTTGCATGTTTCTAAGCCAAAATAAAC